TATATGCTTCATCTTTATACTGACTTGAACGTAAATAGCTCCACATTAGATAGATTAAAATAAGCTAGGCTGTATACAAATCCATCCTCTGGCATTATTGATTTGTTAACGTTTTGTCCTTCCTCTCATAACTTTTAGCTTAACGACCGCCTTTTGAGCACTACTGTTTTTTTTCTAACCCTTTTCTGCTTTTGTGGCCATATAAATTTAGGAATTATTTGCTGAAATTTTGCATATGATCTCTTTATTATACTTTGACTTAGCTTACAGTTAATTTTACAGACATAATTCATCATTTAAAGATCACCGCTCTTTCTTTATCCTCCCATCACTGCATATTTCCCTGATCCGTCTTTTATGGCATTTATAATCAACCATGCAAAAACTCTGTTCATTCTATGCTTAGTGGACCATCTAGTCTATTCACTAGCACTGAATTAACAATCGAGCAAGGTTCATCTGAGACTCTGTGCTCTAATTGTCCCCGAGTCCCTTGTCCAATTTTATTGCAACCTGTTGAGCTGGATATAATCGAGGAAGCATGTCCCTATATACTTGCTAGTAGACATGATCTTTTCGAAAATCAACGACTAGAAACTTCCTTATCTTTAAAGTTGCTTCACTCTAGGGGCCCCCCTCCGATTATGGCCGAGTAAGTGGATGTATATTGTTGTATTCTTCGCTTTCAGATTGAAAATACTGTGCTTTTTCTGCTCTTTCTTATTTTCTCATCAAGATGCATGAACCTTCCAACCTAGACTGTATACTTTTGCGCATACTGCAATGGTTGGGCATTTATTTATACTCTTATTGCATGATATTGTTCATCCGTGATGCCCTCGATTTTCTTTTTACTGATTTTTCTCTATTCTCTCTCTCTCTTTTCTCTATTCACTTATTCACTAAGATGTCTTTGTCTTTTTTTACAATCCTTGAACAAACTTAACCCTATTGTTAGAGCTTTGTTTTCTACAATTCAGTCTCTTGCTCCTTTCTATGAATATCTCAGGAGACTGATTTTCTTCTATTTCATAGACTTCGCTAAATAAATTGCTAAAGAAGATTGTATTTTCCTTACTGGAAATGCCTAATTGCATGAATTTTTATTGCACGCTCTTTGTCATTCACCTATCCAGTTCATCTGTTGAGATCATATTCATGAAATTTGTATGCATTTAAGCTTCTTGCTTATTATGTTAAATTACAACAAACTCTGACTCTAAACAGGATATAGCATGAAACTTCGATGTCGTTTTAAGTTATCTAATTTAATTTAATTTACTATTATCCGCCCCAACTAATTATCTCTCCTTCATTTGATTCAACTTTCGTTTCGTCCCTTCTGTTATCTCACATCCACCCGTCGACTTGTTAAAGCAGTTACATGCAAAGGGCTGCACTTCGCGAGCCCCTCCTTTGCGACTCATTGGCTGGGATTCGTTTCGATTCACGCAGCCTTCAGGGTCAGGCAACCACCTGCGCCCGTACCCCATTATGTTGGCTGGCTATGATGAGGCCTGCTGAGCAGCTCTGGCGCGCCCAGGCCTTGTTAATGGCTAAGAATCCAGAATGTAACCAAAAAGTGCATCCTCATCATATGTCGCAGCCGACAATTCAGCTTGTAAATGAGGTAATTTAAGGTACCTTAATACTAATCAGACGCCTAAGACATAAGAGACCTATTTGAGGGTCCTTCATTTATTTGATTACAGTCCACTCTTTTTTCTGCCATCACCCTGAAACATTTTACTTACTGTAGATTGCAAAGGATTCCTGTCCCGTGTGATAGCATCCTTTGTTTTGTGCT